GGCTTCATTTGTCCGAGCCAGAGATTGGGTCAAAGAGCTCAAGACACAGGCCCCCGCTGGAACTATCGTGATGCTGTGTGGCAATAAAATTGATATTCCCGATGGCAGGGAGGTCTCCATCGAAGTAAGTCAAACAATACACTTAACAAGTTATAGAACAAAATAATCACTTTAAAAAAGATCTAAGGGAAAGAACTGCTAATTACTGCCATTATCTAAAAATTGCAAGGTTTAGCTTATTTTTTTGTTAAATAAAACAAGATTAATTAATTAGTGCTAATTGATTAACTAATTGGTTAATTGTTTGATCGATCTGTGCATTGTCATCGACCTACAATAACTAGGCAAAACCTAATCCGGGAAGTGGAAGAAAAAACGTATCAAAACGTATGAAAGGGATTTCTAAACTATATAAATAACCAAGTAATTCAATTCGTCTATTGTACAGACGATCTTGTCAATACATTCAAACTATTTTTTATCTATATATTTCAATCCTAGGATGGTGTGCAGATGGCCAGAGACAAAGGTTTGATTTTCGCTGAAGTATCTGCCAAATCTGGCCAAGGTGTTAAAAGTATTTTCCAGGCTATAGGTATCTAGATATATTAAAAAAATTTTAATGACAGATAAACATAGTAAGACAATCAATTTTCTTTCGAAATGTGTTTTAAGAACATTGCATTTCTCTTGTTTGAAAATGTTGACTAGCTAGGTATTTCAAGGGAGGTAACATTTTTAATGTATGTGCGCATATTTTGTTTCAGTAGCCAAGGCCATATATTTTTTTTTAGCTTATGTAAACTTTCTAGATCGTTAGCACTAAGACCACTATTCAAAAATTAAAATGACATATTCCTTTCCTTTTAAGTCAATAATGTCTTTATTTCAAATTCATATTATATATATAATGTAAGAACTGTAAATGAATAAGTAATTTACATATAAATTGTGAACAACACAAAGTTTCTTTGCATGCTATAGGACAATTAGTTTTAAATGCAACTGCTGTTTGTAAATGAATTAAAAAGGCAGCCATGTTGCTAAGTAATCCTTAATATGTAATAAAATCTGGTACCGCTGATAATAGTGTTGTGAGATATGTATTCAATAAAAGTTCCCGTGCGACCTGTTGTTACTAAAGAGTTCCTATGTGAATTTCAGTTATGATTAGGTTGTTTATGATTAGGTTATTCAAGTCAACCGATCGGTATTTTAAGTGTGCTTTCACGTTGGTGCAGAGGTATATTGGTCCCTACTTTTTATAGGCTCCTACTTATATTCCTTGAGTTAAGTATTACCTCTAGGTATATAATTACACTAATGTATGCAAATCTTAAGACTTAGCCAAGGTAAACATATATACAAATAGTTTAATTACAATAAGAGTCAAATAAATGTGGCCGTAAACTCACAGGCCTTCTCAACCAAAAGTAAACAATCTTTAAATTACGCACTCCAAACTAGTATGATACACTGCAGAGACATATTTACAAAAAAAATCATCACATAACAATCATCTGCCATATGTAAAATCCTAGAACACAAAATATGTAGCAACATCATAAGCCACTTAGACAAACATAATGTTCTTACTCCATACCAACATGGCTTTAGGAAATATAAATCACGCGAAACACAACTAATAAGGCTAAATGATGATTTTTCAAAAGGGTTAGATTATAATGAGCAAATAGATGCTATCTTATTACATTTTCCCAAGGCTTTTGAAAAAAATCACCACCAAAGTTTTCTTAAAAACTTAAAATATTTTGGCATTCATGGTCCATTGCATCAGTGGCTTAAAGATTTTCTGATAGGGAGAGAACAAACTGTAAAAAGAAATGGCTCTAAATCAACTCCAATAACAATAAACTCAGGTGTACCTCAAGAAACAGTTTTAGGTCCACCACTATTTTTAACTTTACATAAATGATTTATCAATTTGCATTAGTTCATGAGCAAAAGTCAGATTATATGCAGACGAATGCATAATAGATAAAACAACACTAACAACACAAGATACAGAAAATTTACAAAGCGAATTTGATGAATTACAGAAATGGAAATCAAATTGGAGCATGTCTTTCCACCCAGAAAAATGTCAGTTGTTAAACAAATTAATTCCACTTATCTTATCCATGGCAAACCAGTAACACAGACTAAAAACGTAAAATACCTAGGTGTTATAATAAATGAAAAACTGTCATGGAATCCACATATAGATGAAAGTATAAAAAAAACAACATTAGGGTTTATTAAAAGATATTTCTATAAATCAAATAAGAACATTAAACTAAAATGTTATTTAACCTTGGTTAGACCAATAATAGAATATGCATTCTCCGTTTGGGACCCCTCAACTCAAGAAATCATTAAGAAACTGGAACAGACACAAAATAGAGCAGTGACATTCATAACAAACAAATATTCACATTTGACTAGAGTAACACCTTTAGTAAAATCACTAAATTTAGAAAGCCTTCAGGACAGAAGACTCAAAAGTAAAGCAGCAATTAGACATAAAACACTGAACCATAACCTTCAAATACAAAAACAAAATGTAATAAAATACTCAGAAATAAATAAAGGTAAAGGCACATTCCTCGTTCCATATGCTAGGACAAATTTGTACAAATGATTCTTATTCCCTAGTGCTATCAGAGCATGGACTGGGTTGCCTGAGCCAGCCAGGAAAACCAGTGACGTGGGAAATTTAGGTCATTAGTTAATATGCATGACTAAATGCATTACGCGTAGGACGTAATCACCATCTTTTGTGAAGTAACGTCTGTATTCTATAAGATAAGAAGATCTAGTGTACGAAAAACATTTAAATAAAAAGTTATCTAAAGGGGAATAACTCCGCCCTTAAAACTATATCCATCAATAAGGTACACGTTATTTCCCTTACTTGACATAAAAAAAAAAGTTAATGACCAATAATTAATTAACTAATTGAGTAGTTTTAAAAAATTGATTCATGTTTTTTTAGGTACAATAATTAATTGTTTAAAGTATCAACTTGATCGGAGAATACGTGAGGGAGAAATAGCGTTAACAATTATTAAAGTGGACTAATCCCAACAAATTTAGCCATATTGGTTAATACTGAAGCATTAATTTCCCTCGCTAGTATTAAACAAAAAAATCATTTACAACGTAGTCATTTTTTAATTGATTACTTTTTGAAAAACTAGTTCATGTCTTGTCTAGGCCTTTAAATAATTATGATAAGTTACAACTTGTTCCAAGAATGGTTGTGGGAAAAATAATGTGTACACACTTATAACAGAAAGAAAGAATGAGTTAATAAAATCTTTGTAAACAGAAAATCTAAGGTTAAGGCTTCATGGTGGCTTTATTTAATTGAATTATACAATTGTTTAACCTTCTGGTATTAATTAATTTTATTTGATAAATATAGGTTAAAAAATAAAAACAAAATGTATACGTTTTTGTTCTACTCTAATATATATATATTATTATTATATATGAAATACACTAGATTATTGGCCTCTAATTAGGCAAAATTCACATTCTTAAGTCTTCAGATTGTCGTTGATTATTTTATTAGTCATGGTATAATTTGATATTGATTTTTTTTTAAATTAATACTGTTTAAATATACATAGTGAATTTTATAACAATTTATACTTCTTTTTGTTGGACTAAAATAGGTGAGTTTATTTTGTATATATGACATACAATTAAATGCATATAATGGACAAGTTTCACTTGTTTTGCTTTCTAGCTGAGAAAATTGTAGCTAAGGATTCTCACTCTGCCAATTCTGCACCTCCGCAGGATAAAGGCATTCGTCTGTCGTCCAATGAGAAAGCATCATCAGGTTGCCGCTGTAGCTCACAGCAAACTGCCTAGTTCTTGAATTTTAACAGAATACCTTCATTGTAATGGTTATAATGTACAATTTACCAAAATTGTCGATGGAAACATTATATAATAAGTATTTCATCATCGATGATGATGAGTGTTAGTGAATTTGTGAACAAATAAACAACACGCAACGCCATTAGTAACAAAGAAAGATTAATGTATATGTCAATGGTAATACGTGACTTTAAATAAAAAAGGGTCACATTTTAACTTCTGCTGTTTGTAGTCTTTTTTTTTGTTTGTTTTTTTAAACTCTAGAGTTCGCTCTCCTTGCCTATTAATAGTAGCATTCTTGGTTTAATAGTACCGTGTGCAAACCATTGTTGATTCTTCATTACAAGATGTAGATTTGTGTAAGAAAAAGTATTAATATTTTTGAGTTTTAAATTTCATTTTTAAATGAATGTCGCGTGTAGAGTAAAATTTTACCTAAAGAAAAAACAAACATGTTTTCTTAAGAAGAATATATTACACAATTAATGTCGTGACATGTGTGTTTTACGTCGCTACTATGACTATATGTTGTTATACAAGTGTTGTCATTATATTTTAACCAATTTGCTTCTCATATTGTTTTCATAGTATCGAGTCATATTTACAGAAATTGATTTCATAACCAGCATGTGTGAAATGCGTGAGTGTGTCAGATCTCTAGTCTTTTAAATTTATGTGATAATTTTTATAAAAAATTACACTGCAATATTTAAAAAAAAATACTCTTCATTCGAACAATAAATATTTGTATATTTTGTTTGGGATATCTAACCGTATTTATGGAGCTCAAAGCTAACAATAAAAGATGTTTCTAAAGTTAGCAGTCATTGTGTTATAACTCAGAGTTGATGCCATGTATCGGAACAATTTTTTTAAATATTTTATTGACCATGAATTTGTATATAGTTTGCATTACCTTGGGTGGCTGAAAGCATACACCGCTTGGATATATATCTGAGACTTTGGAGTTTGAAATGCTGCCCGCGTTGGGTTATGTTTGCTGAATTACAAGAGACACATTAAGGAAACAACGATTGCACCAAAGCGAAATGAAATATTATACACACGTTGTTCCAACAATTTTGCTCTGTGCACAGATGTCTTAAATAGTGGTAAATGTACATTATTTAACATTTTTATTGCACTTTTTAATTAATAACACAAAAGTAAGATTTTCAGTTACTAAAAAAAAATTTGCAAATATTATATATTGAAACAAAAACATATTTTATAGTGACACATTTTTAAAAGTGGATTATGTACGAATAGTATACATACAGTTGACCCGAAAATGAGCAATTACATAAAACCCAACACTATTTTTTTTTTATAATGACTATAATGATGCTAATGAATATAAGAACAGTAACCTAAATTTTGCTCATGTCAAAATATAAGAAATGTACTTTCTAAAATTGTTGTCCTTTCACTTTACCATTTATGCTTTTTATCAAAATTATTATTATTATTATTATATTATTATTATTATTATATTATTATTATTATATTATTATTATTATTATATTATTATTATTATATTATTATTATTATATTATTATTATTATATTATTATTATTATATTATTATTATTATATTATTATTATAATATTATTATTATTATATTATTATTATTATATTATTTTTATTATATTATTATTATTATTATTATTATTATTATTATTATTATTATTATTATTATTATTATTATTATTATTATTATTATTATTATTATTATTATTATTATTATTATTATTATTATTATTATATTATTATATTATTATATTATTATATTATTATTATAATAATATTATTATTATAATAATATTATTATTATTATATTATTATTATTATATTATTATTATTATTAAATTGTGCAATGTTTTTATAAATTTCAAGATTTTGTTTTCCGTTTTTTTATATTTTTCAAAAGACCATTTCAAAATGTTTAGAATTCTATTTTTATCCCCACAAACGTGTGGAAGTGGGTCATTATAAAGCCACCGTTGACTGTCTCACAACTTTCACCCAGATCTCTCAGTGTCACTGAGTCAGTGTACATTTGTTTTCATCAGGCCTACCAATGATCAGACCATTTCTAGGGATCCAATCGTCTTCCTCGTTATCTTCCAACTGGTTTTGGAACCCTGTAAGATCGTTTAAGAACGGCGTTAAGACCTTCCAAATTTACATTCAATCTGTGCTCATTCCAATTGTATTTTGCAATTGTCTTCTCATTTCGTTGTATCTTTAATGCATCAAGTATTTCGAAGATTGTGAAAGTATTTTAGCACTTAAGAAATTTTGCCTTCAAACAAGAAAACAGCGCTGTCTTTAATAAAATTGTGATCTGTATAAAATTGTTTACAGTACGTCCATTCATTGTTACATGGTTTAGAAAAAGAAAACAACGACCCTAACATAATGGACCTCAATCACTAATCGTAAATGAACACATAATATTGATAAAACAATGAAAAATACGTATCACGTGACAGCCTTTATGGAATACATAATTTGTATAGAAGATATATAGAATCACGTGGCTAAATGTTGTTTGTTTACGATTGGTGAATGAGGTCCATTACTTGCAATAGTTTTATAGCGTTACAGCAAGCTTATATTTATAGCTTAATAATTTTTAACAATATAAGCTTCCGATAGAATGATAGCAGATGCAAAAATTTGATTAGAAATTTTTTGTTTTTTTCAAGGCTTTCTTAAAACCTGCGACTTTATATTTCATGACTCTCTTGATAGGAATGTTTTTACTTTATGAGCTGATATCTTGTCTTCTTCTTTGGTTTCATTAATCTATTAAGAAAATAAAACTATTACCATGTCTCTGTTATATACATCGTGGCAAACGTTGTCATGCACAAAGTAAACATTTAAATCCAATATTCATTGATCTGTTATAACAGTTGTTTAATAAAAAAACGATGTCTATTCTCTGAATGTTTCTATCCTATATGCCAACATCATCAAACTCCAATTGAGTGAGAGCTTGAGAGGTTTAAATCCTCTCTTGCAATGAAAGCACTGGACTGAAACCTTGAAGTTATGCGTTGTGCATTCATGTCACCATACAGGTCAAGAGCTTGTGGTTTTCCAAGTAGTATCGAGACGGAGATCAGCAAGTCTGGGGAAGTCAAAGAGAATATGTCTGGGGGCAGTCAAACAGAACAAGTCTGGGGCAGTCTAAAAGAAAAGGAGGCAATGTTTCCTCTTGCTCCCTGCAGCGCCAAACCGTGAGTCGAAGTTTGGCCTTTGGCCGTGCGAAAAATGAGCCAATGGGACGGTGGCCAATCCTGCACTGTGCAGCTTGCTTAGGCTTGGACACCTTGCAGGGCACCTAGTGTGCTCAAAGTCTCTAAGAGCTTTTTTGGGACATTTTTAAGTATCCAAACTGTTTTTTCTTGCTGGGCCAAGAGTCGGCAACGGCTTTGCCAGAATGAAATTAGATTGCCTAATATTTTCATCATGTCGGATATCATCTACTCTTGTTGCCTGGTTGTGTATATCTAGAGACAAACTGTATTCATGATGATTTGTGTTTGAACCTGTTTACTGTCGTCCCCTCTTTACTTGTTGGAGGTTTGGGAAGGGTGATAATTAAATGTATTTCTGAAGATATTTCTAAACACGTTGTGAAGACAGTGTAATTTTAAATTATTTAAATAATTAAGTATTTATAGGTGGCACTGCTAGATCTATGGGATTCTAGTAGCGAACCATAGATTGGGGCATATTCAGTCTTTGGTTAACAGACATTCACAAATCTCTTCAGTTTAAAATAGATCAATGTATGAAGATGTAACAAAAAAAAAGATAATAATATAAAGTACCAGAGCAATCAATATATTTAGTTATTTGAAGCATGAAAAATTAAATCAAAATTTGACAGCTGATAGGTGTATATGGATATATATGTTCAATTATTTTTAAAAGAAGCGCAGTAGTCGAATGGATAGCGCTTAGCTTCCTTACCGGAGGTTCTGAGTTCGAACTCTGGTGATGACTGGGATTTATTTGTAATTCAGGGAGTGCGTCTATTTCTACATCTAGGGCAATCTAAGCTTAGATCTAGTTCTAGACCTAAACTTAGATCTTGAATCTAAATTTAGATCTAAACCTAGGTCTAGATCTAGCTAGAACTATGTCTAGTTGTATGACAAATGACAATGGAGATATTAATTTTTTTTTTGCGAGGGGAAAGTATTGTTGTCATTTGTACACAATTGTAGCTGGAAGACCCACAATATCTTACAGTGGTTCTAAAATTATTTCCTTTGGTATACATATATATATATAATATGTTGATAATTCAATATCAACATTAATTTTAACGTCACGTGACCTTGACCTACTTTTTCAATTTGTTCCACGGGTGGACACTGGGTTACGTTGGTATTAATTATTATATTTTCATGAAAATAAAATAAAAAATATTTAGAATGTTAGAAAATTTTATTTAAGAAACATGAAAACTTCTAAAACAATTTCTTTGCTCTGTATAACACAGATAGACTTTGCACTTCTCACAACTGTTGTTTGTCTTCATGCTACACAACGTGCAGCGCTGGCGATCTTCCGTTTTTATTGGGAAGTGGAAAAAGCCATCGGTTCTGACTTCTGGTTCAGGCATAGGTCTCAAGACAGATTTCTTTCTTGATGGGCCTGCAGTTGCACCTTCTAAAGATGGTCTTCCTCGTTTTTTTTGTGTATGCGCATGTAAATTGATCAAAAGGGATGCCAGTTTTGTTTGGAAGTTGCGTTGGTTCAACACATCTTTTTTAGACATCCCTATGAGCTAACTTGCCTGACGATAAGAGAGCCAAGCATTCACAAACATCATGCGTATGGTCTGCCAAAATATGTACAAATACCAACGCTTTGATCTTATGTGAAATGAATGCTTGGCAATGAAACAGTTGTGAAGATCTACACCTCCCATGCTTTCATTATAAAGTTTTATCACAGCAGGCTGCTGGACCTGAACATAGGCTGGCTTAGCTTTTCCAAATCTGTTAACAGTTTTGCTTGGTTCGACACCACTTAAAGTTGAGAGCATATTGACAGCTTTTGTGTCATACCAACGGACAGCTACTATGTTGGTAGACTTTTCAACACATTGATCCATTGTGCCACGACCTTTTTTCTTCATATTTTTCTCGGAATCAAGTAAAATGCCAGGAAGACGATTGGGTGTAACTGTGCCAGCATAGTGAATGCCTTTTTTCTGAAGATCTTCTAAGAGAGGTAAAAGTGTAAGGAAATTGTCCACAAATATTTTGTAATTTAGTGTACGCTAAATGAATATATGGAGATGCTGTGGCTGTGGGGTAATGCTCTTGGAACTGGAAGTCCCGTGTTCGAATCCTGGTGAAGACTCTAGGTGGACCACTTCAGGGCCCGATTTTGAGTTTGTGTTTCACACAAACTGTATGTGTAACCTTGTTTTTTATATATTTTTTATATAAACTTACTTTGTCTGTCTGTCTGGTACAATTTTTGAAACGTCATTTCTCTTACTTTTCATTCTCTGATCATGTTGGAACCTAACGAAACAAAAATCAATCAAAATATTTATGAATTACCAAATGAATTATCTGATTTTAATTAATTTTGTTTGATATAGAAGAAGGGAACTTAATAATACAATATCGAGAAGTGTGATTTAAAATGGGTATTATTTTTACTTACATTCCTTTTTTATTTAAAATTACTTTTATTTTCGTATGTTTCTTGTTCTGTATTTACTCTACATGGTGATGTTAACAATTGATGAAGTTGTTAAATTAAAAATCAATACCTAAACACATGTATGACATTTGTGGTCTACAGACTCTTGAATAAGTTAGCAATAAGGAAAATAATTAAACTAATGTCTTTTACTTATATATACAATTTTATTATTCGTCATCATATACATCAATTTTAAAATAACTTTTATAAATCTTACTAAACAAATTGTACATGTTCTCTTCATCTCGAGATCAAGTCAGTTATTTGTTGAATACATTAACAAGAACTCTCATTTTATAGACAGCGTAAAAGATTGCCACAGTAAGCTGCTATTTTATGTGCTAGTCTTATCACACAGATAGATAATCATTCGTTGCTTACTATACATTCACGCCTGTAAAATCGTCTCAATGTTCACCTACTCTGCAGGACATCTTCAAACTAATATAGGTGGAAGGAGACCCCAGAGATTCTTCGACGACTAACACCATAGAGAACACCTCAGCACCACAATTAACTGACAATGATAATAAACATGCCGCTTTATATAAATGTTTATTATCCACGCTGTCAGAGTTTTTAAGTATGTTTTTGAAATAAACTTTTGCACAAGAAGTGAGCCAGTGAACTATAAATATGGTTTACAAACCTTAAATTTTTATCGCTACGCTTCAGGGTTTACTGCGCTACATCGCGTTGAATAAGAGACTTCTGTCAATG